ATCATCTACAACCAATGATCATAACAGCAGAAAGTAACAGAGGGTAGTTACAAGTTATTGGTAATTATTTTCAATTACGAATTATCAAAATCTGAAAAAGATGTACAGAATACGACTCAAACCTACGACTACATATGTAAGAATCAAAGATCCACTTAACAGCTTTAGATCACCAATCGGACCAAGTACCGTTAAACTAACATAAGAACAAGTAGCGGATGAGTTGTAAAGCAACAAAACAAAACAATTCTGGTATCAGATTCCAAAAGTTCGGAAGAAATAGCTCTACCATAAAGGAATGATCTTTTTCTCTAACTTTCGGTCTCAAAACATTACAGTATTTATTCTTTGCCTTGTGGCTTAGCCATAGAACTTGTTCGTTGTTAATCTTATCCTCTTCAATTCCGAATCTCTCTCGCTCAACATGAGGCCTAATTTGACAGGGAATAAACTCATATGTTTCTTCAACCCCAAGATTCTCTCTTTTCAACATGGTTTACCTAAAAGGAATCATATTCTTTTCTCTTAAGGTTTTGCAGTATATAAACTATGAGATCAAGGGGCTTCTTACACTCCCCTCCCAACAAAAGATTGGTGATCAAATTAGACATGTCAAACGTGAGCTTTCTTGAGTTGCAGTACAAGCTCTCTAAGAACAAGATGCTGAAGACGCCTTCAAGGATGTTCTCTAGAGACAGACAATCTTCAGGCCTGTCTTCGCCCGGATCAGGAGGCGTCTCTCAGCCTACAATCAACGAGATGAGACGTGTTTTCAACAGATTTGACTCAGACAAAGACGGGAAAATCTCTCAGACAGAGTATAAGGTGGTGCTGCGAGCTCTAGGACAAGAAAAGGCGATCGAGGACGTCCCCAAAATCTTTAAGGCCGTGGATCTGGATGGTGATGGGTTTATTGACTTCAGGGAGTTTATGGAAGCACACAAGAAAAGTGGAGGGCTTAAGTCTTTGGATATACGAAACGCTTTCTGGACTTTTGATTTGAATGGCGATGGGAAGATAAGCGCAGAGGAAGTGATGTCGGTGCTGAGGAAGCTTGGGGAGAGGTGTGGCTTAGAAGACTGCAAGAGGATGGTGAAAGCTATTGATGCAGATGGAGATGGATTGGTTAATATGGAAGAGTTCATGAGGATGATGACTCAAACTATGAACATTGTTTGATGAAAAGA